CGATCAAGATATTTCCTGTGTCTGTGTCACTTCTCCAGAACACAAACAAGTCAGTTCCAGTTTTATCAAGATTTCCTGGGAAACGGGTGAAGCTGTTTGTTTGAGCGGGAAACAGGGCCGTGGGAAGTAGGGGTGCTGAGGGTGCTGCAGCACCCCCTGATGGAGGACAGGGAATCTGCACGTCCACAAGATTAAATGGAAATATAATACAAAAAAACGAATTTACAGCCCTGATGTAACAACATTCATAATTAAGTAAAGATAACACCCTTTTCACCCCGGTTACAGTTTCCATTTGCCCTGTACGATGAAAATGGGGATGTTGGTCTTATCAGGCGCCCGCAGCTCACACACAGGACAGATATCAGCTGTCTGGACAGGACTGATAGCCAGACAGACTGAGAGGCTCAGTGAGGTAAAGGACTGAGTGTTTAGATAGTTCACTTTAGTCTAAGTTATCTCAGAGGGTCTCAAACGGTTTGTTAACAATTTATGTAAACAAATATTTCCAAGGCAACCTTTATAATTATTGGGATAAATAAAAACAGGTTTGAAATCATTCCAGTGCATACTATAGGACAGTAAACCAGAAATATTGTTTAAATCTGGAGAGATTAAAGAATATGCATAAATAAATAAATGTTAACTGGTAAAATAAGAAATAAATGAACAACAAAAATAAAATAAGTTACATTTACTTGTTATTGGCTATGTTAGGTTATTGGTTATGTCCACATACTTATTTGATTATTAAAATGTAAACCGATCTTTTCGATATGGGTGTTTAGAGTTGTACCCCTTAGATCTAGTCTCCGGCAATTCAGCTCAAAGTGCACCAGATTGAAGCATTTTACTTTATAATGTTGAAAAAAAATCTTCCCCCCTGACCCCCCTAGAGGATGTGATCCCCACAGCACCCCCCATTTGAAACATGTTCCCACAGCTATGGCGGGAAATGCATTGATTCGTCCAAACTCGCTTTCCTCACCTGGCTGCTGTTATCTGATCTTCCACCTCATAGGTTCCCAGACCTTTGTAGATTGCGTGCATTATCTCGTCGCCTTGGTAACCGCTTCCTCTTCCGTCAAAGCTTGCGACGATGATTTTCTCTGTGCTCGCCAAGTAGGTGTCCCAGCCCACCCCGTAGTAAAAGTCTGCTTTCTGACTGCAGGGACCAGCATACCTGGGGGGAGGGGGGGGAATTAGTTTGTAATCTCTTCTACAATTGAATATTATTATAGTTTGTTGATATTTATAAATTATCTTACACATCTATCAGTAAAGGGTACTTCTTGGATTTGTCAAAGCCTGGAGGCAACAGCATCTGGTACCAGAGTTCTGTAAAAAATATGCAAATCCATAGTAAATAATCATCTGTGTATTTTATAGCAAACACTGGATATCGTCGTTGTGGGATTCTCTTACTGTGTCCTGCAACGTTGAGGAAGCCTCGACTCCTGGTGGGCATTTGGATGTCAGATATCAGGCTGCTAAATGCTTTATTGTCCTCCAAAACTTTTATCTCTACAAATGTAAAAACATAGAAAGTTAATTAAATAACATTTATCCTTGTTGATATTATTTCAGATTGTATTCAAATGTTGTGGATTACCTTTATTATTCCTGTTATCCATGAGAGCATGGAAAGGAATGCCAGGACCTTTGAGTAAAATGAAAGTTATATTATTAGCAAAACATATAGCTAGTAATAAGTTACAATATAATAATTAAATTACATATATGCAGAGAAACAAAGTATAACTGACCACTGCAGCGCATACGGTAGAAGGAGGCATTATGGCTGAAGTAGGCGGAATTATACTGACAGTTATCTCCACCTATCGCACATGTTAGACAAGTGTGCGTTTCTTTGGTCCACCTGACACAAACACACAGTGTGAAGAACTGCTTTGTAATAAAGATTGTATCATTAAAAACAAGGAAAATAGTAAAACATTTCAATGAAATCCCCTTACTTGTAAACATTCCTTCCTCCTGGCTGCCCGGCCTCTTGGTTACTTGAGTAATATCTGTGGAATAATTGGAATGCATGAGTGGGGAGGAAATCCTAAACTGTGGCAAAGGAGAAATCCAGCTAATTGGACATGACAATTATCTCTTAAACTCACTCATAACTTCCCAACATTCCCACACACACCAAAGATGTTAGACTAAAGTTTGGGAAAGTGCATAAAACAATGCATTACAGACATTTGCAATATTTCCATTGGCTGGAATGGTGCAGTTTTATAGGATACTGTACAATCAGAATGGATATAAGCATTATGCGTCGACACGAGAGAGCACGTGTATGCAGCTGTGTGCAGATAATGCAACGACTTACACACTGTCTTCAGTTACTTTCAGGATGTCAACAGCTTCCCATTTTCCAGAGGTTATAGGCGTAGCTGTGCCCTGCACGATGAGTCACAACACAATGTGTTACTTAACATTTATACAATGTGTGCAAGTCTCAAAAAAAGAGCTGATTTTGCTGGACTGAAAATGGCCAACTGACTTTGTAATTGTACTTACCCCGACCACATGATGGATGTGTTTGTACTTTTTGGTGTCGCTCATCAACAGGTAGTAGCTTTTTTTGTCTGCAGCAAAAACTGGTTCTGGTGGAGAGAACTAAGAAAAAACATTATTTTACTATATATATTCTCTGACCTCTATAACTGTCAGCTCCAAGTCCATATCATCCAGCTATAGCTGCACTGTGGTTGTATCTTACCCTAGTCAAATAAAAGGCAATGGTGCATTGGATGGGGATAATTTTCAACTGTGTATTAGTCCACGTTAGGTGAGTCTGTCTGGCTGCTGGATGGTTGAGTGTGATTGAGCAAGAAGTAACTACAGTGTGTGTGCAATCATGCAATAATATGTCACCCAGTGCACATGGAGCTCTGTTAAACAGAGGAATAACATATAATGCTTGACAGCCACACTACTTATTATACCATACGGTCAGGGTTGGGGAAAATAGGACCCACATGCAGAACACAGACAGGGAAGCAGGAATCCAGGTAATAACCAAAAACGAGCTTTATTCCAAAAAGCTGATTAGAACCAAAGAAAAAGTACCAAACACTAACTGGGTGAAACAGGAACAAACTCACAGACAGGAACAGGCAGGTTGAATGGCAACATAAACCCAAAACCACGACACATACATTGACTGTTGTTTTTGGTCTTTAAGCAGAATATGCTTTAAAGTGTGCTGGACTTACCCGTCCGATCCAACCTTTTTCACTTTTCACCTCCAGTTTCTGTAAAAAGAATTGCAATTTTATATCTGCAATAGGCACAATTAGATTACAGTACACCTTATCAGTTTAGGCAAAAACTGTTATTGCAACACAGAGGTGGATTTAGAAATGCTTTACCTAACGAAGGACATTGACCTTTCATTTCTCAACAACCAATGACTTTGGTTGGGTACAACTATGATCAGTAACAATGTCGTGAACATCAAGTGTTTGTGACATAGGCTAAGAAAGAGAAATGTCATCAGAGTGTCAAGAATTTTGTACCAATATTTGCGGTCCCCAGAGAATGAATCCTAACACCAGCGCAAAAATGATATGCCATATATTTGTATAACCTAAGCAGTAACATTCATTAGTTTTACCTCAACAGGATCCCACTTGAGTCCATTAACATTGTAGATCTGGAGGATGAGGTGGTTTTGGACTCTCTTCAGCCATTGGACAGCAATACGTTCATCTGTCACCCAGGTAACAGTGGCCAAGTAGTGCTCACTGAGGGCAAAAGAGGAAATGTACGACACTGGTAAGTTCCTCTGATTTCCTTCCCTGATAGCAGGCAATACAAATGTATACAAGGTTAATCAGAGTGATAGTTCTATTACCTAGAGCTGAAAAGGGCTGGAACAACAACCTCAGTAATTGTTGTCGTATTGTCAGTGTCCACAACAAACAGCTTCACAATAGGGTTGGGAGTACCTGGCTGCACAAGAATGTAAGATACACACATTGACGTACAATGATCCCAATATTGTTAGAGTAAAACACGCCCAGGATAATCGTCCCACCTTTGGATATGGAATGGAAACAGTTGTGGGGTACTGGTCCTGCCCATACCAGGTGTACTCTATGTTGTGGACCTCTGTGTCGTTGAACTCAGCATAAGCCACGTACTTCCCTCCAGGGGACCACCAGAGGCCTCGGTTGGAGGAGAACATCTCCTCTAGACCGGGGAAAGGGAACATGACTTATGGTTCAGGAGTGTGGGGGTCGGGTTTGGGGGTTCAATTACAAACTACAACACTTGGAAAATTGCATGCATCTATAATGCTATAACCTCTTCTTAAAATCCATCTGCACAGGGATTAAATGGGCTCCATTTATATAGGGCCATTTCTCTTAGCAACATGTTTTAAATGCTAGTTATAAATGGTTTTATGGTCTTTAAATTGCTTAAGTATGTTCTCCAGTGACACGGAAGCTAGTCAAATGAACTGGCACATACTGCATTCTCTCTGTGTGTGTGTGTGTGTGTGTGTGTGTGTGTGTGTGTGTGTGTGTGTGTGTGTGTGTGTGTGTGTGTGTGTGTGTGTGTGTGTGTGTGTGTGTGTGTGTGTTAAAGACAGTTTATTAAACCTTAAAACCTGACGTATTAGATATAATTATCAAGGTAATCTATCAGATACAGATCATGTTATTACATAAGGGCCACTTACCCTCATACACCCAGTCGGGGATCCCATTCAAAATCAAATTCCACTCGCCGTTGAAAGTGACTTGCTTGGCGGGCGACCCAGGGCTGGTCTTTACATACACATTATTTTTCCAAACAAAGGCCTAAAAAGAGAAACAAAGAAATAGAAAAGTTGTGAAAAGGCAGTCTGGTTTGTTTTCTGATCTCACACACTGAGCACACACTCTTTACTCTGCTCAAGTGTTTGGGAAAGGTTGATCATCTGATACCTGCTTCAAAGCCCACCTGTCACTCAAAGTTATTCACATGCAACGGATTATGAGTTTGAGAGTCCAAGCTCACCAGTTTGTTCCCTTCAGGAGCCCAGGAGAAGTACTGGATTTCATCCGGCAGGTCAGAGGGTGTGATATATTTCCTGAAATTAATTTTTTTTTAAAAAGGTTTGTGGAGATCGCTTTAATGTTCATCATGCATGAAAAGGAGCATTTAGTGGATGCTTTAGCTGGAGTGTACTGTATTTTTGAAACTGCATAAATGTATCCATATGCCAAATACATATTAAATGTACTTACTCTAATTCCCTGTCATAAAGGGAATATGAAGCTAAAAATGAATGCCGCCATATCTAATGGGATTGGGAAAAAAACAATGTAGTGTGAACCCTTTAATTGTATATAAGACTTTAGTTATGCACCAGATAACTACAGGCTTACTCTACCTTGGAATGATTGCTCATGAATGCAACATATTTGCGGTCAGCCGACAGCTGGTAGTCATCAGCATCTCTTTCATCCTGTGTTTGGAAAAACCCACATTTGAGAGAGTTTCACAGACCAGTGCTCATGACCTCCAGGACAATACTGCACTGACTTACAAACTTGTCTTGGCTCAAAAACACTGAGGACTGTCCTGTGAGGACGTCCTGGAGAAAGATAGAGTCCCCAGATTTACTCAGATACTCGTGATCTGTGGGAGAGGATCAGAGAATGTAAGTTATAATAAGATATTTTATATAAAACACAGAGCAAGACATTTCATAAAGATATCACCTAAGTAGTTGCACTTTATAATAAGGGTTATTGAAAACAGATAACACACTACCCAACTCCCGCCCGTGTTCTGCTCAGTAAAATGGTTGTTCTCCTCAAAAGAGACAGGTGGATTTGAGAGATGATATAACAGTTGCAGGTCCTGGTTGTAAAGTGTCAGCAGAATAGATAGTAAAAAATATAGTGTACATGTAAACTGACATTTTGGGTGGGTCTTTCTATTATGTGTCTAGAAAAACTGTTGACCTCTTACACAAAAAAATCATCACTTAACTTCTATGCCGTAGCTCCTGTCTCTTTTCCCAAACAGGGGTAGTGCCGGCCATCATCTACAATACACTAAGTACCTTATAAATCCCCACTTCAAAAAATGTAAACTATCCTGATCAAATTGACTCATTGTGACTTCATCTCCGAGCAAGTAGATCTCCTGATATATCCTGCATTGATTTGTGTATTAAATCAAGTCTTGCATTGGTTAAGCATGTGTGTGTTCTTTTACACTGCATCTGAATACATGCATGCATGGGAATTAGTCCAAGTGAATAAGTAACAATTTGTAATATTGTAGCTGACGGATAATAAAGCATTCTCAGTGACACATTTACAGTTTAATTGCAAATGCACATCACGTTTCACCTGTTCTACTTTTAACAGGCTACTTTCTCCCACCTGAGATCCACTCCAAGCTGGCAGACTTTGGTTTCAGAGTGCTGTTAAAGACATCCTCCAGAGTGAAGGATCTGCTGTTGCCCGCCTGCTCCTCTGGAACAGTAGAAAGGGTGTTGAAAGTCACAAGTTACAGATATGATATCACACATCACGATCATCACCATAAAATAAGGTAAGTGCTGTAAAAACTGATAATGACGGGTGGAACATTGCTGACGTCAGTGTGTTTTTTGGGGTAATGATGTGTATTGTCATAGCGTGTACTGAGTGAGTATGATACTATTTAAGGTAACATAATATAAATCAGGCAGGTCATTTCCATTTATAGATGGAAAAGTGCTTCCCATTTCCTGTTAGTATTTTTGGAGAGATCAAGTCGTAATGACGCGTGCGTAATTTACTTACTTTCGGATGTGTTTAACCCCGTTAATACCCAATTATGAATCATTTAATAGTAAAGACTCACCATTCAGATATATAGCCGTGGGTACTGCTATTAAAATGACAACCACTGCTACGCCGAAGACTCCGAGGATCAACTTCCCGATGGAAACCTGCGCAGAGTAGAAGCCACACAAGTCACAAACGCGCTCCAAAATGATCCTTGAAAGTCAACATTACATCGATATGTGAGTATTAACAAACCACCAACCATTGTTTCCGCGCTTAGCTGAAGTCTGAACCAAATCCGTCCAAATTACAACTCCATCGATACGCGTGCATGGAACGCTAAAGTGATATGATACGGCGCTTTGCTGTTACATATTATCTCAAGAGAAGTTTCAAAGGTGGGCCAATAAATGTCGAGCGGAGTAAAGTTCGTCAGGTTTGATGATGTTCCAGTGTTTTGAGGAAGTGTGCGGCTGCTCCAATCACCCTGTGTCTCTCAGAAAGCCATCTCTGAGAAAATGTCATTTTTTACGCATTTCACAACAATAGTTTTTACAGTTGAGGAAAAAAAAAAAAAACTTCAATATGCAGAAGTTTTTAGCAGAAGTCTATAACAGTGGTCATTGTTTAAATACTCAAGGAAAAACAAGGTACTTGTACTTAACTTGGATATTTTCCCATTATGGTACTTGATACTTTTACTCCACTACTTTGCAGGTTCAGATTATTATGACAATATATAAATACAGTATGATATATTTTATAGTTTTGGCTAACCAGCTTCACCAAGAGCAACATTTAAATGATGAACACAATAATGCATGAATAATTATAATACAATCATTTAATAAATATGACCCTGAAATGGGCCATACTTCCTAATGAGTAACCTTTGGTACTTTAAGTGTGTGTTGATGCTAATACGTTTATACTTTTACTTAAGTTTAATTTTAAGTGCAGGACTTTTTTGTAACTGGGTATTTTTAAAAAGAATGGCCACGTCTACTTAAGTTAAAGTTCCAAAAAAATGTCTTCCACCTCTGACAGGGACTACCTCTGTTGAGAGTGAATGGCATGACATGTTTATGGTGCACTGCACAGCGAGCAGACTTCTCTGTTTGCCAACTGCCATCCAGCTGGGTTTACACGTACAGAAACCTAAGTCCAGAAAATAAATATTCAAAATCACTTAATAAAGAGGTTACAGGAGATGTCTTAGTTTGAGTTAACAGATTCATTTAATATCATAAATTCCTTGTATATAAAACACATGTTTTAATCAGCTGTCCAAGCCTATTATCATTACCACATATTTGATCTTTTCATTTTGACAGGGAACTGTCTGTAATTCAGAGGATGTGAGTGAAATTGCTGTACGACCCTTCCACTTCTGCCTCAGGTGACTTTACACGACTGACAACAGCTGTTCAGGCTAATAAATGACAGTCATAAATGCCATTCAATGCATGCACTTTGTTTACATAACCATTAATATCCTTCCTGTTTGGGTGTAATTCCTGAAGGCAGTGTGAGAACTATGTCACTGACCGTTGGGCACAGGAAGGAAAACTGAAAAAACAGCATTTTCATGCAATGATTAATAAGTGAGCGTCAAACGCACTTCGGAGCAGGGCGGCTAAAAATAAGTCAATGTATTCCATGTTGTTAGTTTCTTCTTTGTACATGCTGTAAGTGCTAACCAGTCACAGTCAATGCTAAAAGCCTTTTAAAAGCTTAACAAATATAAAGCTGGGCCTTTATGGGGAATAGGCATCATATTGTGCACTTGTTCCCCTCACACCGGACATCCTCTGCAAACAAATAGACAGTGGAAGTCTTCCTAATGTAGCTCGGCTTGTTTGAAGAGCGTGCCTTCATTGATACCTCCATTTTCATGACACTAAACACATCTAAAACCATTTATAGGTGTCCCTTTAATCACGTTTAGCCTTATTGGACCAATATAGTGTTTGTTTGAGGACACTTTGATAAAGAGAACAACAGAGGGAGAATGAATGAGAAAGCATTTGCATACAGAGATACAGAGAGCTGTGATTTAAAGGTCAGATTATTTTATATTTAAATGTAGATTTATATCAATATTTTTTCCATAATCAAGAAAAGGTCCAAAGTATAAAACGTTCAAACAGAGAAAAGCAACAATAAAATAATCACAACAGACCAACACTGTTAAATGTTACACAGACTTAAAAGTTTTGAGTTTAAATCCTTTGTCATCATAGCTACAGCACATGACGCTGGGAGTTTTCCCTGAATTTCTGAACCAGTTCTTCTCAGGGAAATGTCGGTGTTTATTCACAGGATAAACAGAGACACTGGTGTTGGTTTCATCAGACCGTGTAATTGCATTCTTGGCTCGAGGATGAAAAGTGTTGGAGTTTGGAAGTAACAGTTTTAGAGAAGTGTTAGAAATGGGTCAGTGAAGATTGTATTAACATATGTAGCAGCAGCTGAACTCAAATAGCTCAATTATGTAGATTTCATATTTAAGTGAATATTTTGGGGTTTTGGATTGACAAGACAAGACATTTAAAGACATAGAATTGGACTTTTTGACACTGAGACTTAGCAGTTATTTCAGATCAATGTTATTATCCCTACAAGCTCTGTTATCAGGAGTATTACAATATATTTATAGCTGCCAGAGTACTATCAGGCACTCTAACCATTCAAACTGACATTAACCGGACAGTGAATGAGTGTCAGCATGTCACCTTCCACCACAGATGTTTGGTTAAGCCATGGCTCAACAGGAAGTTGTGACAACCGCGGCAACTTCCCCTACACCACCCTCTACCTGCTCACCATATAACCCAACACACGTTTTCTGTGTTCTATTCACAGCACATTTCGTCTGAGTTTGACTGAAGGGCAGATGTGGCTCCTCATCACCTTGTAACTTCTGATTTGTTTATTTCACAGTACTGTCTTTCACATCATACATGTTCTGTGTGCGTTTCCTATTTTGTCTAGCTCTTTCCTTCAAGGTTTATAAAGCAAAGACCAGATAAATAAGAAGAGAGTAGGCTATACCCATAAAGTTCAGCTAATTATTATGATTTTTGAATTGATGTATACTGTATTCATTTTCCATTTGCAAATCACATTGAGTTGCCTCTATTTAAAAGTTGCTAAACTAATTAACTGACATTGCATTAACTCAGGTTATAGAAATAAAGTACATGTTTTGTTCTGTTTGTGGACAAAATGTCTCAAAAGCACCATCTAGTGGTGACATGAAGCCATGCATGACAGTTAAATATTTAGTGAAGAACAATTTAATGAGAAGTTGGGAAATATTGGAAAAGTCGAGACTCTTAACTTTAAAATCAACCAGAAGCGTAACTCAATTTACCAAAAATTACATTAAGTGGAAAAGTGTTTAACAGCTTGATGAATTTATCTTTTTCAAATGTATTACTTGTTTTTTACTCATGTTCTTCCTTTAAATATTTGATTTTCAAACCATTTTGTCTGTTGTTTTAGGTTAGATGAAATGTACGAGGATTACCTAAACGCAGCCCATTAAACAATTGATGGGCGGGTCTTCCTTCTACTGCTCCTCGCTTATTGGTTATCTCCCCCGTTACTCAACTAACTTCCCGACAGCACTCTGCAGCTCGGATGTGATGTAGCAACTGCTCAGACGTATCGGAAGTTACTACCGTGTATTCACAGAAACCCTTGTATAACCGTCACTCCCACTATAAAGATATAAAACTTGCTACAGTTTTCCCTATTTCACCAAATGGCTTATCCTGGATACGGTGCGGTGAGTTAATGATATGTTATCGTATTGTTACACTGTTAAACGAGCTACATTGGTTAGCAGAAAAGCTAGCCTGGGGCTGTTTCAGCGAATACTATAGCGATAATAAGTTGTTCTGTTACACGGGTCATACAGCTGTTTCCTATCTTCATGTAGACATTAGTTTGGTTTACATATGTTATCAGAAGAAAAAGTTATGGTTGTTCGGTTTAATTTGGAAGTAAGGAGCCATATTATGCTCCACTTTATTAGAAATTGATTCGGAAAAATGTCTTCCGGGAGAAAAAAATCCCCAACATTCCAGAGGATATGCAAATCCTTTGACCTACTAAACGTGTTTATATGATAGAGGTTTGACCTGTGTTATATTACACCAATCTCTTTTTTTAAGGCCTATAAATCTGCCTCTGGGAATCCTTCATTGATTACAAAGAGGACCCAATTCTGGCCTGTATTTACTCAATTCAACTAGAAAAATGGGACTCAAGACACCTCCTTTTTAAGCTTTGTACATTAAACTAAAAATCGCTTTTATCTACGTCTAAGTGTGGAATGCAGTGACTCCTTAGTTGTGATGAATAGGGGTTAGAAGCTTATTGTTCCTCAGCCAATAGCAGGCCTCCAGAGTGACATTCAGGGAGGCATCACTTCACGTTGATACCTGCAGTCAGTGAATGCAACACTGGCATGCTTTATATATTACAAGCACAACAAGATATCACGTTTCCCAAACTGTTGTCAAAATCAATGAATTGCTATTTTAAAAAGTCTATGTGAGTTATATAATAATAAGTAACCATTGAAAGTGAGAAAAATCTGTGGTAGTTGTATCCTGTTTTCCACATTTGAATAAACACTTTGAGAGTCTTTAATGACACCCACCCTGGTCTCTGATGTGTCCCCAGCCTCAGTACGGCGGTCCCATGCCGGGAATGCCAGCTCAGGGGATGCCGGGAATGCCGGGAGGGCCCATGGGAGGGCCCATGGGAGGCCCCATGGGAGGCCCCATGCCCGGGCACATGGGTGGGCAGATGGGTGGGCAGATGGGAGGCGCGCCCCATCAGGGAGGGTATGCCGCCTATGGAGGAGGATATCAAGGCTCGTACGGCGCCCCAGCCCCAGCTGCTGCTAATGACCCGATGTGGGGTTACTTCACTGCCATTGCAGGCCAGGTGAGTGTGGAGGAACTCACAGGAGAGCACACAGTACACGTTTTACCAAAGGCTAGCTTTCACTTTCATATTGAAGTGTGGTCACAAAGAGGACATTCTCTGCAGACATATCAGGTTTCATGAATCGGTTCAGTTACTATAAGTTAAGAGGAAGCAGGGCTCTGTTTGAACTTGATTTCACTCCCTTTCGGTAATGAATGACTCACTACACTACCCTATCTAAAGTGGTCCCTTTGGAAGTCTGTGGAAGATTTAAAATGCCTACAGAAAAGTAAAACTATAATGTGTGTGTGTGTGTGTGTGTGTGTGTCCCCCCCCCTGCTGTGTTCAGGACGGAGAGGTGGATGCAGAGGAGCTGCAGAGGTGTCTCACCCAGAGTGGATTCACCGGATCCTACTCTCGTAAGTCCACGACTCCCTCCACCAGAGAGGAACACCGCCTCAGCCAATATACCATGAGTTCCTGGTTGTTTTACATCATGCATTCAACAAATGAGCAGAGGCCGTACTCGCTAACTTAGAGGGCTTTAAAACACTAACAAAGTGCCTAATCGTGATGTATTTCTCTGTGAAGTGTCAAACCACTATTATCTCCTCTGTGATTGGTTGACATCTGACAGTCTCTTTCAGTGCACGTGAAAAATGAATATTCATTAGTATAAAGGAGAAGGAAGTGGCAGTTCACGAAATATGTGAGCATATGGTGCAGATTACATACATGACGTACAATGAAGAGTATCTAAGTTCAATATTTATGTTTTTTGGTGGCATAAGATCTCACCAAGAAAATATTATTAGCAATATTATTATCCTGCCTTTCATGGATAAAGACTGACAGTTAAAGACTGTAATGGATATTACTGTGAGATTGAGAAAGTACACAGAGATGAATACAAGCACGGCCTTTTTAACAGAATATGACTGATTCATTCATCAGGGAAATATTGAACAGATTTCGCCGTCAGCAGCTGGATTAATTAGCACTAAAGTTAAGTGTGAAAACATGGACTTTAAACGTAGCTTTACTCATTTCCCCCTTTATTTTCTCTTCACAGCATTCAGCCTGGAGACTTGCAGAGTCATGATCGCAATGCTGGATGTATCCTAACTTTAATACCAATGAGTCCCCTCAGCTGCTCCTATTGTCCTTCACACTCACCATGGGAGTATGTGTACAGTAGGCGTGGTGTTTGTCCTTGAACCGGGTTAACCAGCTGTGTGTATGTCAATAGCTGCCTGCTGTTTCTATACCTGTGGGTCAGCAGTTATGAATCTTAACCCGAGTGTGTGCAGCGGGACTCCACGGGGAAGATGGGCTTCAACGAGTTCAAGGACCTGTTCACGGCTCTGAACGGCTGGAAGCAGAACTTTGTGATGTTCGACCGGGACAGGAGCGGCACTGTGGAGCCGCAGGAGATGGGGCAGGCCGTCTACGCTATGGGTGAGGCTGAAGCATGAGGGAGGGACACTTAATGAAGACACAAATGGCTTAAAAGTCCAGACAAAATGCACATGGATTCTGCGCTTTTGGGCCTGATATTAATCTTCTTCTGTGTCCCTCAGGGTTCCGCATCGGCCCTCAGGCTCTGAATGTGATCATCAAGCGCTACAGCAAAGGAGGAAGGATCTACTTCGACGACTACGTGGCCTGCTGCGTCAGACTGCGCGCTCTCACAGGTACACACACCTAGAGATGATGTGACACGTTCACTGAACACACTGCTGTCCAGACGTTTAATGTGGACTGAGCGTGAAATGTGTTTATTGACGCTGATGTTTCCTGTTCCTGGTGCAGAGACCTTCAAACGGAGAGACACCATGCAGCAGGGAGCCGTCTCCTTCCAGTACGATGACGTGAGTCCTGTGGAGATATCACTGCATCACATAGCTTAAGTCCAGATGTTTCAACTCACAGCCTGCTGCTTACTGATTGAAGAATTGAATTTGACATTTATTCTTTAGTTCCATGCAGTTGCAGCTTATCTGCATATGAAACCGCTCAGAGCAGCTTCAAACACCACATCCTGTTGAGGTTAATTCCATCTCTCTCTCTTTCTGTCACCAGTTCATCCTGTGCACGATGGCCATCTAAGGCTGCACCGACCAATCAGAGGAGGAGTCTGGACCACTGCCTCATGGGAATGCAAAGGGAGGCCAGTATATTTGACTGAGCTGCAACAGGAAAGTACTCATGCTTGTAACGCTTGCTGTTTAGTCTTGTAAGTCACACAGGGACTTGCTGAATCAGGCGCATATATACATCTATATGAACACAGTATGTATTCACATTAGAGGGAATTAGAATAATTTATAACACATTTTTTAAAATCTTCGATTGGATGCCAGAGTGATGCTGGATGTGTCGACCTGTGAGACACCTAATGTGCCATTATAATCTGAATGTACGCTAATATATGAAACTCGCTTCTAGAGAGCCTTGTTAGGCAGCATCATGATTAATGATGAAATATTAGCAGCATTTACACAAAACATGTTCATATGCCTTTACACTGAACTGTATATGGCTATGGTTTTATTAGAGCTTTCTTGCCATATTTTTTATTTCTGTTTTATATAAGTTTAGATTAGCCTGATGTTAAAGTTGCCACGAGCCAAAGTGACTGTGAATGCTCGTGAGATAAAGCCTGAGATTTGTGCAGCTTCACACTTTGTTTTGAATGTTTCCCTACAAACCCAGCCGGTTGTACTTTGTAAAGATGCCCCTGCACACTCCCAATGCCATAGTTCAGATCATATTTTGTTACTGACAATAAACACTTTCTAATCAGTATGCATTCTGTTTATTCATTTATACAATTGCGCATTTTTTCCCCAGTCTATTTACATGATACATTTCATTTATTTAAATATAGTTAAGAACAGAAACATTCAAATGAGCTGTTAAGTGTTGCATTGTATAAAATACAGTGGCAAACATTTAAAAAAATGCATACAAATAATTGTGAACAGCACTAAGTATTTAAAAAGGGACATTGTTATCCAGTACAGCAAGTTTTCTAATCTGTGCAAAAGTTTGCAAATCCCATGGAAAAGTGTTCAGGACGCATGGAGTCTATAAGCGTCAGCAACTTTTGTTCTACATCTGTGCTTGAGAAAGAAAGATGGAGGACACCCTGCTGGAGCATCTGTGTGGTTTCTCTTTTCTTAAATAAGGTTTCCCCGGGTTTCAACAAAGTAAAGAGTTGGGTTGAAGAAGTAGAAATGATATGATGTGCAATATGAATGTTTCATGCAGCCTCGAGCCCGTCACTGAAGTGTTGCTTGCTACATTGAGAGGCTGTACATTGCATTCATCTTCTTCCCTTCTGCACTCCAAAGCCTTCCCCTCAACATCAGGGGGAAACAATAAGGTCATAGAAAAATAATGGCAAATGAAACTTTGTTTTAGAAAAATAGGTTGAAGCGTTATTTCTAAATCTCCTTCCAAATGTCATAAACAGTTTGAGACCTTGTTATAATTGAGTGCAGTCTCCATGCAATACATGAGCTTGTGTGGGAGTGTGTGGTTAGGAAATGACTAATTCATTTTCCTCATGCACCCTAACGTGGTTCCTTTAAATGTGGCGCTTTTGCACCGGGTCGCCGTCGTGTGTCAAGGCTAGAGCAGGCGTTTAAAGCTAAGGCTAGTGAAGGCGGCCCGAAAACATGGACAACTATTTTCTCTTTTTTTCTCTTTTTCTCGTGGTTTTTATCTAGGAAATTGTACTTTTTAAGAAGACAATGGAAGACCTAAAGCATGCAACTGAAAACTATCGCGTGGGATCGTCAGAGTTCACTCAGGGTGTGAACGAGATATGTCACTTCCTGTCGGTTAGCATATGAAAGAGAAATGACAGTGTCTTTGGGTCAAAAATAAAGAACATTATAGAGAAAACACATGGATATTCTCTGAGTTTTAAGTGGTTAATTAACAAGAGAACACTTAAAAATATCAAATATGTTCTAACAGATTTAAGCCCCTACTTCACAGAAAACAAACAAAGGAACCGCATGGCTTCACATTGCAAACCACAGCTTTGCAAAGTGAAGGTTTACCCCGTTCTCCAGATTCATAGCTTTCATTTCCAGCTACAATGGCCCTAATAGTAATGTAAAGAAACACCCGCAGACCGCTGACCCTTACAAGTCTAGAGTGAACTGCAAACCCCCCACAGCCATGCTTCTGTTATATTGATAGGGTTCAGGTGGTTATATGGTAAATATGTGTTTTTCAATCTAATAATTCAAGCATTCATTATGTTGTCTGAAACATGTGAAGGAACATAACTGCAGCTGAAAGAGGCCCTTTACTTTGTTCACGTGCAAAATGATCTCCAGAGCGGATTCGTCTCTAGAGATATGAGATCGTTATTGCTCTCAAAGACTGACGTGTGTGTGTCTGCGCAGCCTCACACACTGCGCTGTGTACTCTCAGTGTTTGTCATCCGTTGTGGTGGAATCAGGCATGCTAAATATAGCGACAGATCTCTGCGTGGACGTTTTGGAGTTTGCTGATAGAAAGATCAGAGCTTGTGGAAATGCCTCGGGAAGATTTTCATGTAGCTGATTCCCTGTGGGGGGGGGGAGGGGGAGGGGGGAGCGTTAGAAAAGAGGTGACAGCTACAGAGGTCCTGGAGAGAGTCAGAGTGAGGAACATGCCACAGGAAGAAAAGCAACCGTCAGAACGTAAAACATGCATATCTGTTTTAGAAAAAGCACATCAGGTGCCTCGTGTTGCTGGCAGTGTTCTATAAAGTATGTACACGGTGGATGATGACTTTACACGTGGTAATAATATAGTGTATAAATACCTCTGTATAAATTGTCTTTATACATTTAAATCAGAGAGGGGCGGGGGAGAGAGTCCGTAAAAGTAATGGAAGAAAGTCTACAGTTGCCTTTGCATATACAGTCTCTTTCTTAGACCCTGAGACAAGCTTGAGAGGAGAGGTGCGGGGGGGCTAGTTTCCTGGGTGCCCCGGGTCAGACGCAGGCCGCTGCAGTGGTAAGGGTGCTGAGCCCACTTCAGGCAGGGAGGCTTGTCGGCCTGACGGCAGCCTCTGGTGGGGGGGGGGCTCCACAGAGCTGTCCTGTGTGTGTCTCTGCTCCGTGACCCAGTCTGTCTCCAGCAGGGAGGCCACGCCCCCGTCTGGAAGAGCGTCGGTTCGCAGGAGCACCGGGGAGCCGTCTGTTGATCTGTTCGGGGTCTTCTCCGGGCTCTGGAGGAGAAACACAGCGTGAAGACGGATCAGAGTGAGCACACACGTCTGTTTGAACCAATGCCCTTACAGGCTTTCAATATTTGCAATATATGTGTTTTTTTCCTTAATGTCTTGAATCTGTGGTTTAGTACCTGAGGCCGGGGCGGAGCAGGGTCCAGGCTGAACTCCGCCTGCAGGGCCGACACCGGCTGCACCCTGATGGCCGGCCTCTGGTACTCGGGGCTGGAGGTGACGGTGCTGTAGGCGGGGGGCCCGGACGTGGTCTGCCTCTGGAGGAGGTGCAGGATGGCCTGGATGTCTGAGGTCATCTGGGACTCCAGTCTGACAGGAAAATATGGAATCAAATCACAAAAAGGTATGTGGTTCATCACATGTGGAGGATTTATTGATGCACCATGCAGTTATGTAAAGGAGCAGTGTGACATCACTCAGAATCAACATGCATGGTGAGGACTAAAGAATATTTAATATACATCATCAGGTTTTTCATCATATTGGAGAAATGTACATACTGTATGTCTTTGCTAATACTATGGGATGGAGGTGGTGGTCAATACTGATACTAAACACTAGAGGGAGACTCAGCCTCACACGGGGGTTAGTATGGAGGATCATACTGGCATGAGTCTGAAGTATTCACACCCTTTACTTGAGTAACATACATTATTACAAGTTGAATAACTGCAAGTATTTTATCAAAGGAAAAAGAACTGAAATATAAGTTACTGCAGCAACAAAACAGACGAGGGTACGACAGTAAAGGGAAGTTTGTGTTCTGTGTTGCAGGTACCAGGAAATGGAGCACCTGCACCGTTTCATCACCCAATGCAGAGACTTACATCACGGCGTCTGTGAGGGGGTGAATCACCTTTCCTCCACACATTCCTTTTGACAGCAGCAAACACAGGATGGAGAGGGAGAGTGGGGGAAGCCTGCCAGGCGGCTGTTTGCTCTTTAGAGGAGAATACGTGCAAATAAACCCAGTGTCTGCAGCTGTACTGTGATGCCGTGCACTGAGTGTGACTGATGGGGGAACCCTCTGAGCCATGTTCCCTCCATCAGTGAACATCATCTCCCCAAACTGTGCAACTCCTCCACTCCTCCTCACATGAGAACGCCCACAGTCTATGCAATGTGTCTGCATCTAGACAGTCTGCCCCCCCCCTCCATCTGCACAGAGCAGCAGCCGGGAGTCACAGAGCTGCTCACACACTCTGCATTAACGCCTGCAGCCGCTGTCTGGCCTCAAATGTCTCTGTGAGAGCTTCACTTAGAGGGAGGAGGGTTCGTCTTCAGAGCTCTGAGCTGACTTTGCTGAAATGAAGCTGGAGCACAAAGCATGATGGGAACCCAAAGATTTATTCTGTTCTCTAGAGAACCTCCTCTTTATGGCCATCAAGCATTGAAACATGCTAAAAGTAAAGTTGTACTCATACATGTGCTGGTATTTGTATTTAATAAATCAGTACTTGAATGTGTCTGTGTATTTGTTGGTGCGATAGAGATGTCATAGTTAAAGTGTTTGTTGATAGTTATGTGTGTATCCTGATATGATAAGAAAAAGCCGTTATATAAAAAAGGCCTGATCCTTATACTGTGTGTCCTTGGGTGTTTTCTTGTGAAGTGGAGGTGTTGTGTTTTCCACCAACAACAGGCTGCCCCCCCCCCTCACCTGTTGAGGTGCTGCTGCAGCAGGTCCAGCCGTTGCTCCACCTCTCCGTAGGTGAGGTCTGTGTCGCTGTCCTCCCCCGCTGCCGCCTCCCGACACGGGGCGGACTCCTCGACGGGACGCTGACGCACCCACTCCTCTGTGTGGAGCTCTGGGGGAGAGACATGTTTATACACACACACACACACAGACACACAGACAGACACACACACGGGGGGAATGTGTTATTAGAGCATTGCCTCAGGGGAAGCATCTTCCTGTGTGGTGCCCTATCATCATTAGCTTCACTAAGCACCTCCTGGATCCTCACATCCTACAGAGGAGAACACACATCTGACCCTGGCTGACAGTCACAGCCTCAGTGGGGTTTTGGCCTCCTTTTCAGACACAATTGGCATTTCCTGTGTGTTGTTCCCTCCGTGCTGTTTATACAAATCAATATCCCTCTGAGCTTTGCTCTGGCAGAAATCCTCTTCCAGCTGCAATAGATGAAATATGAATATGAAACCACTTTCCCCATCTCAGTGTAGAATCACACTGATTGGAAGTTGCTCTGTGTGTTTGCACAAGTGAGGATTTTATTGCAAAAATATATACATATATATTTTCCACATACCTATGAATATGGTCTCTATGACCTCTTTTGGCCAAGGAATCCAGATGTGTTGATGTAATTTTTTTTAAAGTTGTTTAAATGCAATAATATATAAGAGACAATAAATTCTATAATCCAGTGTCCTGCCAGTTTTTGATGTGTGTCTGTGTGTGTGACTAGTCCAATGAATAAGAATCAGGGTTATTACTTAGTTGGTTTACACATACATATATATATATATACATAAACACGGTGATTAAATCGTCAAAAAATGAACTATAAAGATTTAAATACACACATACACAAAATATACAGCCCACATAATATGTGCACAAATTTAAAGTGAAGTGAACTAGCTCTTGCATTAGAGACGCATTTTTTAAGGGTGTTTATTGATTTTTATTTGCAATGGATAGCCCAACTTTGGTATGCACAGCCCCCCCCCCTCTCTGCTTGTCAGAGACAGTACTTAAGCTAGGGTCAGCTGACGTATCGGACGACGCATGCGCAACTGCTAACAACAACTTCGCCAGCTCACGAGATGCACACGGAGAGATTGGAGGGAATAAACAGCGATAACTAGAGTTTCCTGTGATTTAAAAGGTCAGTCAATGGCAAAACGTCCACACAAACTTAACAAATAAGAAAACTAACACATACGCGAAACAAATAAGCAAACAAACACATAAGCGAACAAATAAGCAAACAAACACGGTACCGCTGTGTTAGCTTACAGCTATGCTAACGCCGGTACAGTTGCTACAGTCAGGCCGAATAAACAAACCGCTCATTGTCAAATTCAACCGAGTCATGGTCACTTTGAAATAATTAAATACTGTGAGAAGTACCATGATGACATTACATACTTTTTTTTTTAATCGACTGTGTGATATTTTCGCTACTGTAGTTGTCAGTGGATGAGCACTTCCGGTTTACAGGCTCTGATAATGTACACACATCACTTACATGATTCTCTTAATACATTTTCTCTAGCTTAAACATGGTTTGTCGAGGTATTTAATCCATTTGTGTTGTATGTTTAGCAGCAGATATACTGCAGTGGTGTTAGGGTGCAGTTTTAATTCATAATGCGCCTATCTTGTAGCTATGATGTGTGTGTATGGCTCCACCTGGTGGTCACTAACTGCACATGCTATAAGTAACACTACTACATTTTAAAATGACTTTGTTACTTGTAAAAGTCTTGCATCAAAATATACTTAAAGTACCAAAAATAAAAGTACTCTTTATGCATAATGGCCCATTTAAGAATCGTATATTACTGGGTTACTATTATGATTATTGATGTGTTTTAATTAGGGATGCTCCGATCGATCGGCCGCCGATCAATATCGGCCGATATTCACTCTCTGCCGATCGATCGGTGCTCTCTATAAATGCCGATCACATGACGTAAAATACATGACACTTTTCTCTGTGCACGGCAAAACAAGCTCGCCAAAATGGCTTCACCAGTCTGGCAGCATTTTAAGGTGTCCGAAAAAGACAATAAAATAGCGGTTTGCAACGTGTGTGAAGCAGAAATCCTGCAGCTCCACCCGCTGTGACGGACCGGTGAGCGGAGCAAAACACACACTAATTAGAGTTAGACCTTACACAATTAGCTATTTGATCTTCCTCTGGAACAAGCTAAACTAGTTATACATATATTTATTCTTCACTGTCGGGTCACTCATTACTGGATCAGTGAGCTGCATGAGACGATACTGACCGGCTGTCAGGAGAGAGAGAGAGGGGGAGAGAGGAAAAGAGAGCGCTTCCGCTCATTTCTCCCGTGTTATTGTCAAAAGTTAATGTAAACTTCAATAATGTACTTCATTTGAATGTAATAATTATGTTGGTTGTTGTTTGTGGAAGCTCCAGTGAATGAGCCTCAGTAACTGAGTTTTAAACATTGCTTTAAATTGAAGATCCCCATAGGCCCCGCCCACTCGATCGGATCGGCGATCGGTATCGGCCGATAATGATTCCGGCGATCGGCAATCGGCCCCAAAATTGGCGATCGGAGCATCCCTAGTTTTAATCACAACTGGTCAAGAGGGAGCTCATTGGAATAACTTGATATACTGTTGCTGGATATCTTCACCTATACATTTGTAAAGTTTACAAATTAATGATTTATATTTTGTTATGGCGTCAGTCGATTCCAATATTTAATCGCGATTAATCGCCATGATGTCATAGTTTAATCGCGATTATCGCAAACTAATGCACACTTTTGTATCTGTTCTAAATGTACCTAGAGGAATATTTTTCAAGTTTTTAATACTCTTATCAAATATGAATGGACAAATATGTTTATGCAAATGATTTGTTTATTATCATTGAAACAATGACAAATATTCTCCTGAATATTCTCAAACACAACAACCTGAAACCTCTCTCTCTTCACCTCTCTGCCAACCCTGGTGTACTTCTCTCACCTGAGCCAGTTGCTCAAACAAGACAAGCCTTGTTTACCAGTTGTCGGCGAAATGCCGCTCACTCGTCTCATTAACAGTCAAAGCATGAGACTGACAGTTCCACAGTGGGTCAAAAAAATGCGCTGTGATGTGCGAGTCGACACGTTGGATGCGATCCGAATTGATCTCACACAGTCCTCCGTCCTTCCATAATGGTAAGCTGTAGGCCACCCATTTTAGCGATCGCTGTGAAGCTTGCTGCTCGTCAGACGCCGTGTCCAGGCGTCTCTCGGCAACACTTTCAAGCGTGGTCTGCCACAACCGAGCGGCATAAGCGGGCTGTCAGCAATCAGCTCCTGCCGCAAGTGATTATTAACGCGTTAACTTGATGCCCTATTTTTTATATTCGGCTAATAATCTAACCTAAAATGTTAACCCGTAAAGTTTTTTATAATGACATACTTTGGCATGTATTCTGATATATTGATTATATGTTATTGACTTTTAATGCATTACACTTTTTTTCAGACAATGGCATTTATACTTCAATCACTCTACCATATAACTTATAAATATGTATGTAATATACAATATACTATATATATGTTTTAATTATATAAGTATTCCTTTTTTAATACGTCTTTTACGAGCCTTCTTATAACCATGTCATAATGTTTTGTTTTTCAAATGGAAGTGATTACAACATTTAATAATCCTGAGGGCTTTCTTCTATCTTGTGTTTGCACGTTCGGAGGTCTGCAGATGGCTGGTGCTTACAGACGGGGAACTATGCGAGGAGTTCAGGTTTGTCTCCGTTATTCTTATACTACACTAGAATCCACAATTGTAGTGAACAATATGTGGGATTCCGTGAGTAACTATACTGAATTCATTTTTTTATGACAGTACTTGACTATTACCATTTGTATTGCTTTTTACCTACGATACGTTACTATACAATATAATTTTGCATTAAATAATATCATATTATTTGAGATATTTCGACATTTATTCATAATACTCTATTATCTACTTTTTGTATGTTCATTTGGACCTACTGTACAACGTGTTTCTACTATGCGCCTTTTTCTGATATCTTCGACTTACTATACTTATGTTCTCCCTTAAAAATGTTCTTCCGATATTATATACTATACCTATGTTGTTGATTTTATTACATTTCTTCATCATATTATATTATAAGTTTGATATGATATTTTCTGACGTACTATGCTATGTTTTCTTCTATATTCGAAATTCACTACTTTAGAGTTCTTTCTGACATTTGCAATCTACTATCTGACTTCATGGTGTCTTTTTTCTTTTCTCCTCACAGGACTGCGAGGACATCATCTGACATTCAATGAAGACGTGGCCTTCAGGATTTCTGAAGAACTTACGGTACTATTACTTTGACTTTTCATGATATCCAAAATAACTACACTATTTGACTATTGTCCAACATAGTCCTATGTGTACTAAGCCTATCTTCGTATTACATGTTGGAGAGTATACTGGTGGTCGTTTTCTTTGCCTAATTTCGACATGCTCTATTACTTTTTGGATTTTGCATTTTATATATTATTTATTATATTTCATTCTACTAACTGACTTCATGGGTTGTTCTTTTTCTTTCCTTTTTTCCGGAAGCACGCGAGTGCAGCTACATCTGACATCAATGAACGACGGTGGCTTCTGGATTTGATCTGAAGAACTAGCTAGTACTAGTAGCTGATGACTATTATGATATTCCAACATACTATACTGATCTAATGGTGTCTTTCTTATTGTGTTCTCGCTACAGGACTGGCGAGGAACCATTCCATCTGCCATCATACGAGAGACGGGTGGCTTCTGGAGCTCTTGAAGAACTTATCGTGTACGTTATACCAGGATGCGAACTTGTCACCCTTTCAGCGAGAGTATCGCCGGTTTGATATCCAAGATATGTCGTTGTGTAGTTCATGTAGATCTGCTATTAAAGCAATATTTTGGAGTACATGTGGGGGGTCTCGGGACCGTAGGAATCTTGCTAGGGGTTGTAGCTGCGAGCGTGTTTATGCGTATCATCATAACATGCATGGTGTCTTTTTTTATATATGTATGAAGTCTACGAGCTGTTGCTGCGGTCCTTCCTGCCTGCCGGCATCGTCCTCATGGATTGTCATATAAGACCTCTGTCTCTCGACCTTTGTGATGATTGGTCGTAGCGTTCGAGCTTACTTACCTACGGGTGCGTTCGGGTTTAATATTTAACTGTGCGTCCGGGTCCACTGTGCACGTATCTGGCACCCGCTGGTGAACAGCTGTTAGAACGGTCCGTTCATTCGTGCTGCTGTGCGCAGCGTAGCATGAATGTCCTGTCGGTAGCTGGCGGTGTCGTCGTGTGAACTATAGTTCTTCGTTTCGCCGCACATATTACCGTTGAGCGGTCTTAGCTAGCTAGCATACTGGACTCTATGCGGTTCTGCTAGAACGTTTAGCTGCTTCTCCTG